TTTTTATACAATTTATCGTACGATGGATGGACAATAAGTCGTCGTATTACGACGATAAAATATCGACAAACAGTCAGAAATATCTTGAAAATTAATCCTATCGATGGAAAAAAAAATGCATAAAAATATAACTGATCACGAGTTTAATCCACTTTCGGTATATTTATTTTATCACAACACGAAAACGTCTATGAACATAAAATTGGCACGTTATACGTCATCGTAATAGCGTAAGAGAAGGTATTACGTCTTTTAAGGCGATTGCTCTTGGAAATTACAAAGTAATGCTAAATTATCACGATGCTCCTGTTCTATAGAAATTTTTACGTAAAAATTGAAAAAAAGAAATATCTCCACAATTAAGAAAAAAAAAAAAAGTCTCAACTCTTCGCACAAATATTTCAAAAAGTGACAAAAAGTTTCCCATCAAAATCAATTGTTTTCTATAAAAAATATCGTCAAAAGAATCATATTCGTCGTTTTTTTAAAAAATAGAAAATTCTTTGATGTATTTGAGTTATTGAAGGTTTAAACATATTTTGTAATCAAAACAAATCAAACAATTTGACACTTATGAAACATTTGACTTCTAACATTTGATTACAAGTTTTCTACAGAGATGGCGTTAGAGGTACTATTTTAACATCATTATTAGCTATTTAGAAGAATTTTGTAATCAAAACAAAGCAAACAATTTGACACTTATGAAACATTTGACTTCTAACATTTGATTACAAGTTTTCTACAGAGATGGCGTTAGAGGTACTATTTTAACATCATTATTAGCTATTTACAGAAGAAACTTGCATTAAATTTGTATATTATACATATTATACATATTATTACATATTGTATTATAGAATTACATACATTGACACGTATAATTTACATTATTAGATTAAGAAAAAAATTTTTTACATTTTTGACATTTACAATGTTTCTTACAGTCTTCATTCGTTAATTTTCGTAATAACGTAATTTATTAATTGAACTCGCGTAATGAATAATTTCTTTTCGTCATTTCAAACGTAATATTGGTGATAAATGCTTTTCAAATCTGCGAAATATATCTCGAGAAATGATTGAAAGTCGAACTCGCTGTCGAACTATTTATATCCAAACATTTCTCATTTATTTTTATTATCACGATTCACTTTGTCGCTTGTAATTGCGGACCATAAATTCGATGTTCCTTTTACGCGACGTCATGAAACGAATAATTGTTTCCAGAAAATGGGAATACGTTTAATTTTAATGATCGTCGAGTGGCGAATACGAAACACTTCTCCCTCGACAAAAGAAAATAAAATACGAATCTCTATGATATTACTACAAATGTGCACAATATTCTTTCGAATATTACGATATGATTATACATTAAATATGCTGTTGTATTAGTGTTGTATATTTTGTAATTTATCTAGAAGAAAATATATGTGGTGTATGTGAGAGACGAATATTGGCGAAATGAATAAATTATATATAGGGGAGAATGCAAAGCCCAATTCGTTTTCGATCATTCAACAGCGAACAAGAAGAACAAGAAAATTCGCTTGATCCAGATAATTTTGATTTTAATCCAAATTTGCATATTTAGAGTAAAATGTATTTTTTTTTTTTTTTGATGACAGAAAATATCTTTGAATATTTTAATGGAAAAATGGAATTTTATAATATAGAAGAATTCTACTCTATTTTTTTTTGTGATCATTGTCAAAAAAAATAAACAAAAATTTATTTCTTAATACTTTCTTCAGATTGATTTCATTTTTAGAGAGATGAAAATCGTCTTATAATATGGTGTGTGATCAATTTTGTTGTATTTATTTATTCGGCCATTTTCGGCCGGAGGGAATGATACAGGAGAGGGATGATTGTTTCAACCGACGATCGCGCTTTTAATTTTTCGGTTTATTTCCGATACCGCGGTGTACACGATCAATAGGGACAATTTGAAACGTTCAATTAAGGATGCAATTGTCTCGTAACGATCCCGAAGAATTTTTTTACATTTTTCCCCGCGTATGAAAAGTTGTACAAGTGGTACAATTTATTCTCAAATTATTAAGTTGTTGTTGCTGGTGTTGACGTACGTTTGATAAAATTGTTATGGAAATTTGTTTATAATATAAAATTTACAGTGAAGGTGTTTATTGAATTTGATCAGGTGAAGGTAATTTTGTATTCGTTTGTGAATATTTAATATTGAAAGATTAATATATTTTTGTATTAAATAATCGATTGCGTGGCAACAAATGCGTGAAATATAATATATGGAAATTGAGGAGAATTAAAATTGTATGATATTTTCTAATAATGGAAATGAATTGCTTTTTTTTAAATCTTGAGTGTAAAAAAAAAAAGGAAGCTTTTGTAAGATTAATTTTGGATACGTTGCAGTTTATTAAGGACTTTAAAATTCTTGATTTTCATTTCATTCATTACTTTTATCTGTATTAAACTCGGTAAAATGAATTATTATGGTTTACACTTGTAATAAATTTCGCATTTAATGCACAATTTTTCCAATATTAAAGGATTGCGAAGAAGTTATTATTGCACAGAAGTTTTTTTCTTTTCCAATCATTTTATACATGTACAGCTTACCGTTTATTTTTTAAACAAAAAGCTTTCCTATAATCGAAACCATTGAAAAGTTTATTCTAGCAAAATATCAGAGAAAAGGATAAAACAAATGAGTTTACATCGTATCGTTTTGTTTATAAAAGCGTATGAATTGTAATTAATGTTTATTGCTCGTTAAATGAATGAAAAGTAAAATATTATGATTCTATAATTATTCTCCATCAACTTAATGGTATCGTCGTTATTATTGTTACATTATTGAATTTGTTGAAAAATTTGTTGTTATTTGAGAAAACAACAAACATTTACGTTCGATATTATTGTTTGTAAATCTGGTAATATTATTTGTATATCGAGTAAATGCACATTTAAACCGATCATAAAATTTCAAAAAAAAGTAATTAAATAATGGAAGTCTGTCAAGCTGTACAAAAAAATTAAAAAGCATAAATTTCGATCTTTTTTTTTTTTGACAACAATGATGCTTTTTAAAAATAAAAAATCCGCAAAAATATTCGATTTTAATTAAACGAAAGTGTAATTGAAATTTACACTTTTTGATTTTCTTTTAAATCGTATAAATAACATTTCTGTTAACGCGGGGATGAACGCAGCATAAATCTGCTTTTATGAATGGAGGAAGGGCATAAGCCCGAAATTTATGAACTGGAATGTTTTAACAAAAGGGATTGTATATACAATATATTCTATGAAAAGAAGATACTTTCATCGACATTCCGCAACAATGAAACCATCTCTACTTTCTTATCGAGTTTCTATGCGATCACGCCTCGTTTAAGGAATACGTTTAAAAAAAGAATTCGAAAAAATTCCTGTTGTTAAATTGTAAATCTACATTAAATATAACATTAATAGTGCGTTTAAAACAATAAAATATATTCATATACGAATTACTACAAATTTCATATCACCACATAGTAAGAATCAACTTAATCAAAAAAGGAAAACATCACATAATAACATCATTGATCCAAACTCTTTAATATTCATAAATAAAATGTTACTTAACATACTTTTCACATTAGAAAATAAACGTATAAATTTCACCAAAATTGTTTCGCATTCCATCTTAAAAGAGAGAACAAATTCTATTCGTATTCAAAAACTAATTTTACGTAATTTTGAATAGTTGAATAGTTTAATCTTTAAAAAAAAAAGCATCACATTACAAATTTTATACCACACAAATTTTATACCGGAGCAATAGTCAACCCAATCAAAAATCTAAAAAACATTAGATACAAAATAAATATAAAATTTCCGAATTCCCTATATCCAATTAAATTTCAAAATTTCACCAAAATTGTTTCGCATTCCATCTTAAAAGAGAGAACAAATTCTATTAAAAACTAATTTTACGTAATTTTAAATAGTTAATTTAATTTTTAAAAAAAAAAGCATCACACATTACAAATTTTATATCACACATTGGAGCAATAGTCAACCCAATCAAAAATCTAAAAAAGATACAAAATAAATATAAAATTCCCGAATATCCAATATATCGTACGAGCAATCGTTGATCCTTCCGCCACGCGACGCTTCACATGGGTTCACAAAACGACTAGAAAATAGGCGGGTATCGGGGCGAAGTTGAGCGGGATAGAATGCGGGGGTGGAAAGCGTCAGCGTGGGCGGAATATGCCCGCGAGCCAAGCGATCCCGGAAATCCGATCCGCCAGCAACTGCCGCGAACATGGAACGAGAAATCACACGTGCCACCGTCGCCACCGAGATTCCTATCAATCCTCGCGCGTATCTCGCGCTTCCGGGACCCGCATCCCCGCGAATTCGAACTTTCTAATTGCTCGCCAAATATTTTACCGAGTTTCCGTCGTTGCTCCATCCTTGAACGGCGGAACGTTCGAGGAGATAAAATCGCACGGAAATATTCCCAAGTTTAGTTTCGCATTGTGAATGCGAGACTCTGGAAAATGGAAAATGGAAGAATCGAAAAAGTGATTTTAGCGGTAAGATTGCGAGAAATTACCTTGAATTAGCGGTCCTAATTAGAGAGTGAGATGGATCGTGTGAGATGTTTTTCTGTGGAACATTTTTCTAGTGGAACTTTGTGGAGAGATTATTAGGGTGGAGGAAATTAAGATTGGGGTAATTGTAATACTTCGTATTGTGTCAGCTTGTATATCAGAAGAATTTGGTGTTATGTATATACAATTGTTGTGAAGTTTATCGAGCGTAGTGAACAAGTGACGATGATAAAAATTTAAAAAAAAAATAGGTTATATTTCTATCTCTTTTTAGGAGTACAAGTTCTATTTAAAACGCTATTTGTCACTTATCTCAAGATATATTTTATTCATCGTTCAAATTTGAATTTAATAGCGTTATACAACCACCGCGTGTAATACAGAAAACATTCATTTTTATTACAGGATATTTCCCTCTGCCGTCAGTTTACTGCCTCGCTTGGATCTGCCTGGATGTATTATTATGCACAGCGAGCATCATGCACTTGTGCACCATAAGCGTGGACCGATACCTCAGTCTACGGTATCCCATGAAATTCGGTCGGAATAAGACGAGGCGGCGGGTCATGTTGAAAATCAGCTTCGTCTGGGTTCTCAGCATCGCGATGAGTTTGCCACTCAGTCTGATGTACTCGAAGGTGAGACAATTAATACGAAACAATAGGCATATATGAGAATTGCATCATGAATAGGAAGTCTGTGAATCTTCGTGGAATTTCGTGAGTGTTCGGATAAATTCGGACGCGATTTCGAGACTTGATTCATCGTATTTCGATTCGGATCAATTCGGCAATAATCGGACGCGATCGGCTTGAATGTAAGCGCGAGCCTTGTATTCGTGAGCCGATCATCGCCGAGTCGATCCGAAATTGGATCGCTGAAAGTATCTCGAAGAGTTGGAACATTTTCAACTCGTCTTGAATCAGTTTCAGGATCTCGTGCATCTCTGCGAACCAATCGACGCCGAGTTTTTTCGCGGTGCGATTTAAAAATAAGTATCACGCGATATTTCGAGGCCGAGAGATCTTATTTAGAGCATGTTAGAGTTAGCCTAGAAAACGTAAAATATTTGTGTTAAAACACGCGTTGTCGTGAAGGTAAATGAACATTCGTGGGGAAAAGAAGAAAAGAGAAAATTGGAAGCATGAATATTGTAATTCGAGAGCTATTTTCTGATACCAATCGTAACTGCATGCTCGGTGGCGCAGTTTCGTGAAGAATAAACGTGCATCGATTTGGAATACTGGGAAGGTGTATAGGAATTAACTGATACGTTGATATTCATTCTATCGAATTGCGCGTAGAAATGAGGATTTGAAAAATGTTTATTAAAACGTTTCTGATATCATTGTAACTTTTTCTGATTTTATATGGAAAAGTAAAGTACCATTTTCTATCTGCGTTAAATTGGAATACATAGCTGTAATCGAAGAAACATACATATTAAAGTGAAACGAAATATAAGATTAAAATTTTATTAAGTTATGATTTATAAAATTCCATTACATAATATTTTATTTAATTTTATGAATCCTTTTTTAAAATTTATTAATAATTTAGTAGTTTTAAAAATTTAGTATTTTAGTAATTCATTGAAAATTCATTGAAATTTAAAAAGAAAAAATATTAAAAAATAATACAGTTGAGAAATTTAAATAAGTGAAAAAAGTGTAGATTTCTCTTTTTAATTGCCTGTTCATTAAACCATAGATAGGCATTTATGGACTTTTCGTGCAACACGAAACGTTAAGTTTTTTTCTTCTCTTGTTCTTCTATTTCCGACATGGATCGTAGAAAGTAAATGCAATTCTTAAAATTGCAATTCTAAAATCTGTGCGATACACAATATTGAGTTATTTCAGGAACATTATTCCAAAATCTTTTAAAAAAAAAAAGTTCAAGATATACCATTTTTTAGTCAATTGATATTTTGAAGTAAGCTATTAGATATTTATTTATAAAATAAATATTTAATTCAGAAATTCTTAATCCCTAATCTTGTACAAGAAATTTTGGCACTTTATTATAGAGAAAAAAATAAATATATATTCAAAAAGTTAATAATCTTAATCAATATCACGATAATGAATAATTGAAAAATTAAAATTGTAGAATATTCGTGGAACTCTTACTTTTTTCGTTATTATTATTATTAATAATAATTTATTTCTTCGGTTATATTTGTTTTTATTCAAAATATCGTGTAATTATTTTCAATCATGGCGACAAAGACAATAATAAAAACACGAGAAAAGAAAGGGACAAAAACACGATAAAATATCGATAATTTTACACGCGTAAATTCCAGCCACTTTCCGTATGAAAATTCAAATAATGAATCGCGTCGTTGAATTTTTCATCAAGAATATCCATGCCAATATTTCACAGGATTTCATATTTGCATTTTTACAAATTCCACGCCAGCATGATCAAGGTAATTGCAATTCATAAAGTTACGAAATCTCGTTTTATAAATTTGATGCTCCATGGGTGTAAAAGAAAACGTGGGTTTTTTTTTTTTTTTCTTTCTTTTTTTGAACGCAGCGTAATTCACGTGGGTAGTTTGACGTAATTTGCACAATCTCGTGTAAACATTGTTTCGCGTGTAAACATTCATTTTTCAACCCGTATTTCGAAACAAAAATTTTGCAAATTGTTAATTTCTTTGTTAATGACGTTTTAATGATTTTGTATTTCTCGATTGTTACTAAGTACAACTTCTGAACAATTATTACTGACCAAACATTTTCCTTTAATTTTTTAGAGTTTACTTTTTAAAGGGGGCGGAAAAACAATCCAGTTAAAAGGAATGTTTTTGTACTGCGTGGGCTAATTCATGGTACGAGCGAGCACAAAATAAGACGAAAATCAAGAATAACAAATTTGTGTTGGAGGTTTTGTTTCCGGGAAAGATGCATTTGAATGTCAGTCAAGTGCACGTGCACCTGGTTTATTCCCAACAGGATACGACCAGATAATTAGTAAAAGATTATTCTACATAGGAAATAAAATGGGAGAACGAGTAAAATAAACTTGAAATAAAATTTTTTCGTTTAATGAATTTGGAATCTTATAAATTAATGTCAATAATTGATTGTTCGATCGCTCGTGAAACCTATGATTAAACGTGTATATGATTAATTGTTATTTATAATAGTAACATGCTCAATCATGTTCCAATAATTCAATAACCATCTAGAGATTATCCGATCCAATGTCTAAGTTCATGCATATTTAAAAAATTTTCAAGTTTAATTTCCCGAAGAAAACGAAATTTCTTCAACGAAAATTAGATTTACAAAGTTACATTTACATACTTTTTACATTATTATTGCAAATTATGCATAAATATTTTCATTTCCCATTTCAAATACTATTAAAATTTGACGATAGCAAACCTGATATATTTATTGATCTTACGGATTTATCGGAGGCGCAAGGCACGCGACATGTGCAAACAGGTGTAATTTTCAACGAAAAGAAAAGTTGTCCTGTTTCGCTCTATTAAATCCTATTCTCCGCGTGTTTCTCATTAAACTCGTTAAAATATGTAACTTGGCTCTGGGCTAAACGTGGCACGGTGGATGACCAACATGGGAACAAGTTTCCAATTAACTCGACCGGAATTAAAAAAATGAGATCAGAACAATATGAATTATCAACTATCGATACTCATTCTTTTTTTTAACGATTGGATATCGTTTGGTTTAAAAAATGACTGTGCATTTCACGCTTCTGTCTTCAATCAATTTTGTATTATATGCTACTAGATTTAAGAATTTTTATATATATTTTTTATATATTTTTATAATATATTTTTGTCAATATATTGGTAGGATATTTGTGAAAGATTAAGAGGATAAAGTGAATATCGATCGAAATTTATTTGACTATTAAATTGTAAAGGAACATGTTAGATTTTTCTTACTCAGGTATTTTCCAATAATTCTGATTTGTAAAACAGGGTAATATGTATACTTAGGTTTTATATTTTATGTAAATTTTATGCAAATGCAAGAAATTAAGGATTTTGGATGATTTTGTATGAGTATATAAAATGTTATTTTAAAAAAATAATCTTCAGTCGGAATACCATGTTTCCAATTTATTTTAATACAAATTACAATGATAATTTTTAAATAATAAAAAGTTTCTTATTACAGTATAATTTAAATATACTTTTATTACACATCTTATATATTTTTCGCATAAAATAGTATATTTTTCTGCAATATCCCCATATTATATTTCCATATTTTTATTTAACAACTAATCGCAGCTATAAAATTACTCTTGGAAGATATGAACATACTTTTAAAAGCCAGCTTAGCACGAACAAGTTATAAAGCCACGTTTAGTTTATTCTAAGCTCACTTTAGCACGAAATTCATACATTTTATATCAATTTCGATTTTCATTTCCAATTATGAATTCAACAACTGATAAGAAAAACCGCGTATGTTATATCTCGACGACTTTCGTGTTTATTATTATTTGAATATTAAAAGAAAGTCTATGATCCCCTTTTTTAAATTCATTCAGGCAAAGTTTCTCGCAAACGTAAATAAACAGTGCTTCTGTTTACAGTTTCCAGACTTTCTTCGGGTTAATTTGAAACTTCGTACAATCTGCAAAAGCAGGCTGCAATCTCGCAGAATTATTTTTTTTTTTTCTTATCTTTCGAAGGATTGATGATTAAAAATTTGATGAGTAAAAATATCTTCTTAATAAGAAATATTGTCGAGCAAATTTTGCAAGAAATGTAAAAGCTCCAATTAAACTATCGATGTGATATATAGTATAGTAAGAGTTTATATTTTTGTATATTGGAAGGAAATTTTGAAATCGATGAAACTTCGTTGGAATTTATTATGAAATGTATGGAATTAATATATACGAAATATCAGAATTATTTCAATAACGCGTTTTTATTATTTTAATGAAATACATATTTTAATTTTCTGCTGATGAATTATACAATTAAGAGTAAAGATTGAAAATATTTTATCAATGTAGTATTTGTATCGTTTGATTCTATCCATGTATCTTTTATTTGTAATTCAAAATGGTAACTAGTATAAATAATAATTAATATAATAAGGTTACGAAAAGAATAAACAATAATAAAATTTGAAATTTTGTTTAATTACGTTTCGTTGATATAAAATTAACTTATTAACAATCTTTCAAAATTTGATTTTCTTAATAATTCCTACGCTCTCTTCTACTTTATGAAAATAAAATCAAATTTTATTTCCATAAAATTTACGAACAATAATTCAAAATATTTTATAAATTCATTACGAAACAAAAAGATTCATAATTCATAAAGATAAAAAAAATATATATATATATATATATATATATATATATATTATATATATTTATTTATTTATAAATATTATTGTTATTTAATTTCTATATAATTAACAAAATGTTTATTTTGATTATTATTTTATAAAGCTATTGATGATTTAGAAATGATTTAGAAAATATATTTGAAAATGGAAAAGAATTGAAAGAAGAAGATATTAATTTTCTAAATAAAAATTTCGTCAATTTTAAAATTTATAAACATTTTATATTTCAAATACCAAAAACTTCTTTTCGTAATTCCGCGTAACTATGATCCTTTTCC